CCCCCCCAAATCATCGGTGAACGAAACTGCGGCAGCTACAACCACTGTACGACGAGTACGCGGTTCCTACAGCTGACAATGATGATGTGGATGTTGTAGTAAAACTTCTGTCCAACAAAATAAACCCTTATCAAAGAACCTACTACACCTTGCAGCTTTCAGCGCCCGTAATTCGTACGCGATAAGTCAACAGGCACCTCCTGCCCAAACAGTTTTCTTTTTCAGTCATGCACCTCAAAAAGCTCAGGGAAGAACAAGATATCTCGCACTTTAATTTTTGAGAGTCTGGCGATTTTGTTGCAACTACTTGTCGCACCCGTGGTATGGGAGTCAAGTTTGAACCCAGGGTTGAATGCGATTTACTAGAAAGGACCCCAGTAAACAGCTGCCTTTGAGATGCTGGGTTGACTGAGTCCATTAAGATCAACGCATTTCGACACATCACCGTCATTACCGTCGACAGCACATCAGTGTTCAGCACTGATGCTTTGCTGCCGTACAATTGTACGCACCATTTTGACACGCTAAAGCATACGCCCCAACGGACGGCAGATCTGATTCGACAGCCTTGAAGGGATGTCAGGGTTGTTTGTGTCAGCAATTACCGTGATCCTGGCATGTCATATGAATTTCCAGAAGCCCATCCTGGCGGTCGAATCGGGGATGACGTTCGCCACATCCGTAACGGAAAGCTACTTTTTCAGTTGTGCTCAGGACATCATTTGTTTCTAGCCATAACAAATATTTAGCACAACCCCTCACAAGGCATTACATAGAGACTATCGGCTGCAAACCAGCCTTGGCATCAGCTAGACCATGTGGCAGTCATCTGCCGGTGGAGACTTTCAATACGATATTTTTGTTTAGCCTGGAATAATAGGCTTGAACCTGACCACTGCGTGGAGTGGTCATGTCTATCAGTTCGCTTCCATTCATAAATGGGAGGGTGGATGCAAGGCCATTCAGTTCACCGCCAGCAAAGCCTCCCTATAGCCCAATATTGAACGGAATTGGCTGGAGTCTTCCGAACTTAAAGGGTATGCTTCAATAGAAGACCGGATCTCGTCAGGACCAGGATCTAACAAATATTAAGAAAACAATATCAGCGATAAAGATTCTGGTAGCGCACGCAGATCCTTCAAGTGCCGGCGAATTGACAGAAAGTGTTGTTGAAGAGCGAAGCCTGGGAAACAGTCGCACCTTATTCTAGCCAGTCAAAGGACTTGGTTCGATGAGAAGTGTTAGAGAAACAGTGCCGGAAAAAAGTAGGATCTCAATTCATTCACACAAACGTCTTCCCGAATGATGGGCTGAACACCTTGAAGAACAGCTCAACTGGCCTCCACCCATCCAACCTCTTCAGGGACCATATAATCCTGAATGAGATGTCGGAAACACTTCTCCATCAACAACGGAAATCCAGCGGGTGATGATATTGAATCAGCATAAGGGACCAACTGACTCAGAGAGTCGCATCCTGCAATCTTCAGGAAAGGCAAATCTCCCTGGAGCTAGCCCGGGATGAATAAAGAATACAAATAGAATAAAAAGCATCAACGGTGATTCATATTTTCAAAGAGGTTACAAGGATATCGCGCGCTGAAAACCAAGGCATCAGTCTAGTTGTCACAGCCCTCAAGGTGCTCTCTGGTATTATCCTACGTAGATGGATCCACCCTTGGAAAACATTCGCGTCCTGACCCGGGTCGCACCAACCATACCTTCAGTTTCGATAAGTGCCACTGCTTCTCACAACCGACCGTGGTAGCGTCTCCGAACACTGAAAATCGACCGCGGATAGTACTGCATCCGTCCCAACACTAGCTACCCATAAATCATCATCGATAGCACATCAGTGTTCAACACCGATGCTTCACTACCGTACAGCTATCATAAAACAAAAGCATCAACGGTGATTCATATTTTCAAAGAGGTTACAAGGATATCGCGCGCTGAAAACCAAGGCATCAGTCTAGTTGTCACAGCCCTCAAGGTGCTCTCTGGTATTATCCTACGTAGATGGATCCACCCTTGGAAAACATTCGCGTCCTGACCCGGGTCGCACCAACCATACCTTCAGTTTCGATAAGTGCCACTGCTTCTCACAACCGACCGTGGTAGCGTCTCCGAACACTGAAAATCGACCGCGGATAGTACTGCATCCGTCCCAACACTAGCTACTCATAAATCATCATCGATAGCACGACATCAGTGTTCAACACCAATGCTTCACTACCGTACAGCTACTCATAAAACAGCCAATAATTCAAGTGCAATTGTATTTTCCACTCGATCAGCTGCCTATTTTTAAAAACCTGTGAGATGCGATCCATCCGACACCTTACCGGTTTCAATCCGAAGCTTTCTCGGATCGGAACGACGAATACTGAGCGACGGTTAAAAGTGACACGGTTGTACGAAAGTTAGGCATCAGTGTTTACAATCGTTCATCACTGACAGTATTCCTGACAGTAGTTTCAGTGTATGTAACAAAGGTGCATGACTTCGGTCACGGGAAAATGAAAGAGCAAGAGATATAGCCAAGCACTGGAGATTGTGGTATAAGCATGCAATTCGTATTGAACCAATTCAGATAGTTGAAGAAAGGCGGAGTGAGTAGCTACGCATTGAAAGCGATAGACTCTAAGCACGAATGCCACTGACTGCATGGTTGAGTCATGTCTACCAGAGTCGAGCATTGTTGAGTTTGGTCCCGGGGTCTCCATCCGGGGAGGTGACCGTTTTCAATCGTCATTTTGTCGTTGACAGTAAAAATTCAGTAATACACACTGCTTCGTAACTACCAGTTTTCAACCGACTAAGTTTACTGGTTAGTGCTACAATATTTTGTCCTTGGGTCACAAACTATCCATTTCCCGATCGCTTTCTCTCAGAACAGAATGGAGCGAAAAGGATACTACGATGGAGACACTCCCGCGACACGCGAAGCACACGTCCTAACTTGTGTAACCTATAGAGAAAACATTTGGCCGCCAGACACCACCATAGTTGCAAACGACTTGGAGGATCAAAATCAGCCTTCAGGTCACTAAAAAACGATCTTCATTGGTCTTTCGAAAGTAGCACTGTTCGAGAACCTGTGCCAAAATAAATATACGGTCCATTCGTTTTCAACCAGAACGAAACCCAACTTGGTTCCCACGAATGTCTCTACCGACAGTTAACCGATCTTTGAAATATAAGGCGTGACCAACTTGAATGTCACGGCTACCAGGCTGATGCCGCGGTTTTTCGCATGGCCTTCTTTTGTCCTTTTCCTATGGATTATGGTCGAAGGACTCCATTCTATCAGACTTCTGTTTTCGTTGCAAATCTTCCGTAACAGGGTCGTCAGACTGCTCGCCGGGACTTTACCACCTTTGAAAAACGCGGGGTTGTATAACATCGAGACCAGGTGCCTTGTGGCGCTGGAAAAATGATGGTTCACGCCGGACTACTGTTGTGGACCGCGAGCTGGTCTCGACGTTCCATTCAGGGTCGTTGGATCCTTCTAGCGTTCATCACATCACTAAAGACAATTTACGATTAGCTTCACTGAGGCCTGTCTTCTTGTGGCTGGTTTACCGAATCAGGACGTGACTGTTGCCGGTAGCGAAACCCTTCTTTATCTTCTGAGACTTCGCAGCCTGCCAATGTTTTCCGTCACACTTTTGATGCGTCAATGTTCGGTATTAGATAGATTTGTGTGCGTCATCGTAGTCGCTATTTCCTGGTATGGTTTCTATATCCTCGATATCTGCAGGTATCAACGACATCTGTCGATTTGGTCCAATCTGTCCTAAAAACTAGGAATATAGCTTTCTGCATCCTCCCACTTTCATCCTCCAAACAATATTCATAATCAACGCAACTGAAGGCTCCCAGTACCTCATATTATCAACTACCAAAACTTGTCCAAAAAACTGTTCTGCACCCACATGCCTAACCCTGGGGGTGCGAACCGAAAACAGAGCCTGCACAAGATCAGAGTTAAGTTGCGTTGAAATCCTTAAGTGAGGCTCTTCATGGGCAACTGACAGCCACATGTCCCAACAGAGCGCATGGCTTTGTTTGGTAGCCCCCTGGTAACTCGATGTGACCACTTGGGCTGAAGGTTCGTGCTGTTCAGAATAAAGTTAGGGCCGCTGCAATATCCGCACGCTGTGCACAGACCTGTAATCTACCACCAAACGGAGCTTCCAGGCTAAATCATCCAGATTGAGCGTTCATATCACCCACCAGAATGACAAAGTCCATTCCTCTTGCTGACTGACAGCTCTCGATGAAACCCATCTTTCTCAGCTTCAGAAATGCAGTCTGTAAGGGCGTATGGGGGCACGACTACTAAAGCCGTTTACCGCATTAGCCTTTATTGTACCAGACAACCGAAGGCGACTGTTTACCGTGATTCAGTGTATCAAAGCGATTTCAGAAGTGAGGCTATCCGACACCCGCACCATAGATACCAGAGGATAATCAGCTACCCTGAGTGCAATATCCGAGCCCGTCCTGCGTGTCCTGATGTGCACGACTGAATTTTTGTCCTATGGATGCTTAACAGACGAAATACATCGACAGAAAGGGAAAGCACGGCTTCTGAGTGTCCATTTTGACAGACAGCATGAAAACCGAAAGCTAAAACGTGGATGTGGGCTTTTGAGCAGGAGAGTTTTTTTTTTACTTTTGCTTTGCTTGGCGACAGTTTAGGCATGAAGAAATCGTTGGGGCATTGACAAATGGACTGACCGCAGTGAAACAGTCTAACAGCGAATAGATATGAGAGACGATGGGCGAAGAGCTCTCTAGTGAAAATGACGACCCTGTCTTATCCAGACAGCTCTTACTTCGGGAGTGGGGGGCTGGATTCAAAGCGTGGCTGAATCCGTCGGTTACGTTTGCATACTTCGATAAAGGAGGTCCATTAAGAAATAGCTACACAAACCAGGAAGATACTGGCCTGGTTTGCTAATGAAAAGAGCGATAATCAGAAAATAACTCACCCGATTGTTCATAAGGGACAAACATGAACTTTTCTTGTGGATGTTCTGATTTTGACAGAATATTCAATACACTCAGACAGAGACGAGGATTCCGTTGTTGTTCAAATTGAGTGATCCCAGCCTCGCCGAAAATCCGGACCCACTCTTCAGGCATTCCCTATATTTGTTACATTAGATGTTACGGCAAACTTACTTCTAATTCCCCGGTGTTTGGATCTATCGTAATGTGTATCTTGTGGAGAACGCTCATTGGGGCGGAAATGTTGGGCATTGTATTAGGTTTCGTTTTGAGATTTTTGTCTGAGATATAAAGGCTAACGGAGGCACTTACTTTTTGACTTTTTTCTATCCTTTTTTCCATCTTCTGTGGGGATCGGAGGTAATGGCTTATTCAACTTGTGAGCAAATTGTTCATGTGGCCTAAAGTTAAAAAATCCGTCATAAATCACACCTGGAACGTACTGAAGAGCCGAAGTGCTATGCGTCCGAAGAGGTGGAGGCGGTGTTTCCGTTTCTTCTGCAGCGTTTTTGTAGACACTGACAGGAGCGAGTCGCTGGAAGAAAAGTGTGTACATATTTTGTGTGGTGTCATTTCACACATGGAACCAGACATCACCGAAGAAAATGCAGAAGAAGAATACGCAGAAACGTTTAATCTTCTAACCTCCATTTGACTTCTGTTGTAATGCGGGGGGGAAGAACCCCGAGAACCATATGGGAAGCAGCTCATGACACTAGCGACCACCGGAGTCCGGAGGTAACGTCATTTTTCGAGTGACGCGCGCCTATTTGTACTTACGGTACTCACAGAACGATCATACACTAGCAGAACGCTAATAGCCCGTTGACTGGGATCATTTGGTATTGATACATGATGTTTAGGCGAAATAAAATGGATGAAGCTCCGGTATGCTGCGCCTGTGGGTTACCGTAAAGCACAATCAGATCAGGAAACCACCGCTTGAAGCTAGTCAAGGAGATAGGTGTTTTATAAATATTTTTTTATTTTTTGCCCTCAATCTGTACCGTCGTGAGTGTTCAAAGAGGAGGCCAGCGAGTAGCTTGATATTAATTCGGTTGGAAGCGGCTTCGCAAGCAAGGGAACTATCAACGGACTGCAAAAAATATGAGCAAGTGTGCTACTCCAAGGCAGATCGGGGAAGCGATTCCAGATGAGAGCCTAGTAAACTCGAAATAAGTCGTGGTGAAAGTTGGTACAACCTGAAGAGCACACTAAGAAGTTGCTGGAGCCACTAAATTTTTAGCCAGTACGTGAATTTACTTTTGGCTCAGCCTATAACACAAAAGCACCTTGGTGCAACAGATGGTTAAGAGAGTTAAATTCAGCTCGAACCGTCTGAGTCATAATAGCTAAAGGAGTTAGTGTGGTGAGAGGGAGAGTTAAAATGCGGGAACAAATTTTTAGCGATTGAGAATCGAACGTTTTCAAGGAGCACGCGAAGCTTAAAAATTGTGACTTTTGTGTCTCGAAGATCAAAGAACTGCAACATCAAAAACATAGCCTACGTGCTCGGGTGAACTGGAACTGAACTTTGTGGGAAGAACTAAAGGACTGAGAGTATCCGAGACCAAGACCTTTGATCTTTGTGAAATAATTGGCAGGGTTGATATTACTTGTGAAAGCATCGGCTGGGAGGAAGTAGTTACGGGAAGATATTTTTGGCTTGGCAGCAGGAAACCTCAGGCCGGAAACATCCGATCAGCGAGTCAGAGAGTTCAAGTCTTACTGGATCTAGCAAAAGGCAAGTGCTTAAGATGAGATAAGAAATTTGTAAGCGGTTGTTATATCGTCGTCCAAAGAGGAAGGGTTTACCAGGAGACATGGCGCCGAAGGCGTCGTTAATATGCAGATGTGAATCAGGCCTAGCGCGCTACCTCAAGCGACGCCACTAGTGACCACAAGTATAAATGGTTGTTCAACGCCAGTTTGTGTCATTTTCGTCCTACCTAAGTAAGAAGTAAACCACTGAAACAAGAATTCAGTGACATCAGCATAACTAAGGTTCTCTAGCAGGAACGGATGAAGTGTCCGGCCAAATGCTTTTCGGATATCCAAATAGATAGTTACAATGGAGTCTCTGACATCATGGGCTGCTACGGTGGTCAACTATGGCACTTGTAGCCCAGAGGAATCTGAGTGGTAGCCCCTGACCAGACTTTTAATGGTTCGCGTGGAAACAGGGGTGCGGTGGACACCTCTGTGGTTGGATGAGGCTTGTCTTGATCCGGACTAGAAATGAGAAGTGAATGAAGATTATTTTGACTGGAACTGGGCGATTCCGGAATTTAGTGAGTAGATAAAATGCTTAGGGCATGACATATTGACTGCCATGTCTCAGAACACGGGTTGGTATCCTGTCGCCCTCCGGTGCGACGGAGTACTTAAGGGTTCGAAGAAGGGCGAAAATATCGGCTAGGGAGATGGGTACCTTACTAACTGACGGGTGGCTACTCTGGAGTGGAGATGTGGAATGTGTGGCATGGTTACAGTGGTTTCAACGGATCCTATGTTCCGGTTTCTAATTTACCACAATTCGCAATCGTTTGTCATTTTTTTGCCCGCTATCTCCAAATTTTCACGATCTGACCTTGCTTCGGTTTGATGTATTCCCCAAAAGATAGATAAAGCCATGAGAACTGAGCTTTCTTGCCGTTGACATCCACTGGATTTAGATCGCGCAGGTTCGGTTGTGACCAAATAGATGTCGGATAATACCTACTTTTTGTGGGATTGCCTCATTTCCATGCAATACTCGGTATACACCAATCCCACCAGTCAAGATTTTATTTTGACCAAAATATTTTGATCATGCCTGACGGTATGCCACCGACCAGTTTAAAATAAAAGCTGATATTATTACGTAGACACCATTTGTTTGAGAGAAACAGGAAAGTCGCCAGGGGACCTTGTACGCTAGTAACTTCAACCTTGGCATTATCAGCTTGACAACTCGAAACCGGAAACATCGACATCATTGGTCATGCCACTGACTCTTTGCACTTCTATTTCCCCTGACATTTAGCACAGTTCCGAACAAACCTTTGGACGGCGCCGGCCAAATGGGGGAATAGTTAAACGTTCCCAAGTTGGTTATTGTTGCTACCATATTTATGCATATGAACTCAAACATACAAGGAGTTTATACCACTCTGTCCACTGTCTATCCACTGCGGGTTTTCGATCTGAAAAAGAACCTTATTTTGAAGTGTAGTAAGAGTGCAGATGGTGTGCAGACCTCCTTTGCATAGAAGCAGCTGAACGATACATCTATTTTCGTGATGCCACACAGGCTGTCATAAGTTTTGATTCTCCAGCCAATATGTTTGGCTGAAAGTACTCCCAAATGGTCATTGAATAAGTTGGGTTCGCTTTGATGGACAGATGGCACCTCACCAAAATCTGATGACAAATTTAATCATCTGTCTTAACTGTTGGAATCAGCTTCATTAACAGCCCCCTGAGCAGATATATTCCAATTGCAATTAGCACTAAACAGCTTGATGAGTAGTAAATACCTTGATAAGATACACCCACAGAATGCGTATCTTCAAATTGCACTTGGCAATCCCTCATTTATTTTTACTACCACGAATAACCGTCCGTGTGTATAGGTATAAACTGCTTCCATGTCAACTTTGCAGCAAGCCAGCCATTATTCAGGTAGCAATTATTCAGGAGCAGAAAGATGTCGATGTACGCCATTTATGTTGTCACGGAAGTACATATGAACAGTTACCCTCTGGTATCGTTCACTAGCTGTGTGGTGCTTACTGAGCTGGCGGCCATGAAAAGTTCTTAATTTTTCTAAATTGAGGTGCCTGAGCTGTGGCGCATACGATGGAGATGCAGGTCTCTCGTTCAGCTTTCCATGGATCAACCCCCTCACGGCATTCATGAACGCTGATACCATTTTTATGTACTTTGCGTCTATTTGAGTCTCCACTACGTGTAACGTTTGTGTGACTAGCGTTCCTTTTAATCACTCAAACTTTGTCGACCATTACTTTGACATTTGAAAACTTTCACGCTTCTTGTCTTTTTTTGTACCCCCACTCTACTTTTATGTTTAGTGCGTGTATACGAAGTGGCTGTTGTTTTTTTCTTATCACTTCACTCATTTGACCTTGGGGTCATCCACATATTCTAGCTGACTTTGCGCACATGTGTCTATCTAACGTGGGAGCCGGTGTGCTAACCTGGTCTGTACTTTTGTGATCGATGTGGACCATTTGCTGTGGACGAGTATCTGCCGTCGAGCCCAGGGGTTCTGACTTTACGAGTCACTCGAAGACACCGTTTGCCCGTTAAAGCACTCGACAACTTACGTTGTCTTGTTTAAAATAAGGATGTCAACCTTTGGAAACATTGCGATGGGGACAATAGTCCAGGACGTGGACACTATTGAAGCTGTGGAGGAAACAATTGTAATGCAGTCTGCTTTGCGCCCCGGTTCTTGTGAGTCACTTTGTTAATCTGGTCCCAAGTCAGAGTTCAAACTCCAGCGAGCTGTTCTGAATGAACAGAGCAATGTCGAGCCAGCTAAAAATGAGCTGGAGGCCAAACAAGACCCATCAGGTGAGGTCTTGGAACCAGCGGCCTCAACTGACTGGGTAACGCGGTACGTGAAACCCTGTCAGATAGCTTAAAGCCCTCTAAGATATGCTGTTGGTATCAAATGGCCGTCCCCAGGGCCGAAACCGGCTGCTTTTATCACTACAGTGACAGCCACTGTGAAACCACCCAAGTTGGAACTATCACACTTTGTTAGTAGTCCGATTAATTACTGGAGGTTCTCGCGCCAATGTGAGATACATAGTGAGAGCAAGGTGAGGGATGCCAGGTCAGAGGCTTCTGTATCTGATCGACTACTATCAAGGCGACACGAAGGGAGTCAATGAACAATTGTGATGCTCCAGAGCTCGAAGATTCTACGCAAATTTTTCATTAGCCTTATATTACTTCCCAATCTCTACCTGAAAGCCTGTTTCCACTGGCACGACATACCACTGGAGCAGTAAGTTTCTGTCGTACTTGTGCATAAAAATGCGAAGTTGTGAAATTACGCTGACACAGGTACTTTACGTTTCAGTGTTGCACTCACTTGCGGTTGTAGGGTAGTGCGTTTTCTTCCCTCGTCACTGCAGCACAAACGTGGTAAAGTGGCAGATGAAATATCAATAACCGACCGGGACCCAACGTTCAATGACTTGGCAGAGCTTGTGAACACGCGCCCCAGGGTTGCACAAAGTCGAGAAGATTTAAGACGACCTCCTATGCGGCTAGCTTTCACCAGCTAAGCTCCTAGACTGGACGATTTCACTATCTAAGATAAGACCAGAGGCATATAGTAGTCTAAGCGATTGCCCATTATGTTTACAGCCTCACCCAATTTTCGGCTGCCGGCGCTTGCGATCTATGGAAGTTCCCGATGGGTTGAGGCGCATATGGGAGCATAGTGCATGCTTCATCTGCCTAGGTGACTTCCACAGCTAAAAACTGCACGTCAAGTGTTCGATGCGGCCTGTCGGGTCC